GAGAGAGAGAGAGAGAGAGAGAGAGAGAGAGAGAGAGAGAGAGAGAGAAAGAGAGTGCGCGCGCGCATGTCTATTGACGCGAATCACATGCCTTTTTTGCGATATCTGCGTGCGTAGCTCTCCGTCACGCGACGATTTCCGCGTATCGCATGCATTTGAACTGAGAGCGTCTCTTATTATAAAGCCGCCATCGCGCGGCACGTTCTCGACGCGGCGCCAAGATGCATTGCACTTACTGTCGTGCGGCAGAGTCGCAGCCATTTCTCGTTGCTGGACGTAGAGGAGGCCCACCGGGCCCACGAGTTTCGCCGGCATCGAGTGCAGCTGGGCCGCGGACTCGCGGTATACCGGGTGGGCCGCGTATAAAGACCTACTGTCCGAGGGGATCTCCTCCTGCAGGACCCCGTTCACCACCAACACCATCCTGCAAAAGAACGGAACGACGTCGACGTGTATTGTCCCGGCGGTGAATGTTTCTGTCGCGCTTAAAGGGACTGGAGGGTCAGATTGCTTGAAAAACGTGCTTTTCACAATTTTTTATGACAAGCTGCATGAATATGCAAAAGTGTTATTTTGACGTGTATTAACATATAAAGAGAAGAAAAATATAATTTTGATGATCAAATATAATAATATCAATATAAGTATATCAATGTAAGTATATCAATATAAGTAATGTAAGTAATATAAGTGAATCAATATAAGTATATGGTACATGCAGTTAAAATATATTTTATTCTTCTTTTCAAGGTCGTTATTTTGCAGTAATATCTTGACGTGTACAATTTTTTATAAAAAATTGAATAAATAAGTGAAGGTGTTATTTTGACGTATATTTGTACAACATATAACATATTTATACAACATATAAAGAGAAGAAAAATATAATTTTGATGGTCAAATACTCAATATAAATGTATGGTACATGCAGTTAAAATATATTTCGTTTTTCTTTTCAAAGTCGTCATTTTAATATTTTGACTCTCGGTGGTTCAATTAAGCTGAATTTTAGGTAGAAAATTTCCGTAAGTTTGTTGTTATCGTGTGAACTACTGACAAAACCGTGAAAATATTTAATTTTGAAATATTAATTTCTTTACTATAAAAGAACTGAAAATTTAATAATATTCCATTAAGATATTTGTAATTTTGTTAACTTTTACTCAATTTCTATTCACACGTGGTTCACACGATAACGACAAGCTTACGGAAATTTTCTACCTAAAATTCCGCTTAATGGAATCACTGAGAGTCAAGATATTACTGCAAAATAACGACTTTAAAAAGAAGAACGAAATATATTTTAACTGCATGTATCATATACACTTATATTAATTTACTTATATTACTTACATTATTTATATTTATATTATTATATTTGGCCATCAAAATTATATTTTTCTTCTCTTTATATGTTATATAAATACACGTCAAAATAACACTTTCGCATATTCATTCAGCTTGTCATAAAAAATTATGAAAAAAACAAGCACGATTTTCAAGCAATCTGACCCTCCAGTCCTCTTAAATCGCCCCGATACGTCGTCCTAAGATTGCAACAACGTATTGACGTGCTTAAACACACGCATAGAATTAATTCCAATGTACAATGTGTGCAAACGGTCGAAGCCACGCGGACTGATAATTTATTCCGGCGGCGGCCATTCTTCCTCGGCCGATTTCCACCTGATATTCCTCCAATCGTCGTGCCCGATCCTAAGAAACGGAGAACGCGGACTTTATCGGGCAAAGTTCGAGGCGCGCGTTGAAAAGCATATCTCGCAAGCGAACGGGAACTCTAATTCACAATCGGCTGCAGTTAATAGTAGTACGAACTAACTGGTAAATCGTGTGTCTTGAAGAAAAACGAAGACAAACATATGATTCAACTGTCAGGTAGCTTAGCAAGAGTTGAAACAATCGGCCCTACACAGAGAAAACGATTTAGTTGAATCAAATGAACACTTCTTTGGAATAGTCCAAACGAATTTTTTGATGGAACAAAATTTTATTTGACGCAACAAAAATATTTATTTATGGCTTAGTTCCAAAGAAATATTTTTGTTGTGTCAACCAAGTAATT